CTCTTCTGCAGCTGATGCCACATCACAGCCTGAATGGAGGATCCCCACACTACTGAGAGGATGATTTCATATTCCACAACCCTTTATAATGTAATATTCCTGGAAACATATGGTGCCTACAGTCTGCTCCCAGGCTGGGTGCTCTCAGTGAGCACAATCTTTAAAGGATCCTTGAAGACTGAACACAGTATAGAACTGTTACAGCTGATGAAAATTTAATGGAGTACCTCCAATGAAAAGCTTGGGAATGGGATGGAGTGTTACCTATGTCTGGCTTGCAGACAGGAAGGTGACATAATTCCTTTGCAACCTCAGAGAAAGAGATCAAATGAATTTTTTTGGTATGTATTTATAGAATCAAAGACATTTTTGAAGAAGGAGTCTTCTCATTTTAAATAGCACATAAAGTTCACTGATACAGCGGTGGAATTAATAGGACTATTTTCAACTTGTTTCACACATATAAATCATAGCAAATATGAACATTTTAAATAAAAAGGCTTCTCAGAGGACAGTGTTAGAAAAGAAACAATTTACTGAAAAATAAGCAGATAATCAAGGAATATGAGAATCTCTTTCTAATGCAATGTATGACCATTCTGTACTGTCCTACAAGATGGCAGGAGCGTGTTGTAAAAAGGGCATTAGATAGCTCTGAAAACACCTACCCTTCCCCTCATGCTGCATAAAAGCAGAAAAGCAATGAGACCTCCAGGGCATGATGCTGAGCTGGTGTAGAAGATATGAAGATCATCAAGTTCAAGAAAAGCTTTTAGGACAAGAGGATGTTTTTGAACAACTTGTCAGCTGGACAATTTAGAATGCTAATGGCAAGGCTCCATATTCATGAAACAAATCAATTTTCTGTCAAAAAATTAAAATAGAAAAGGGCCCTTACTTCAGAAGCTTTTAAAGTTAATATATTGTTAAGGAGGCGGCAGGGTTGAACTGCATGTTGAATTTTCCTGATTTCATTCATGATAAGCTCAGTTTAAGCCAGCTAAGATCTGGTGAGGAACTGGAGTGTTACCGACCACTACACGTGACATTTCTTAGGGTATTTTTCTCTGGTGATAGCGGGCTCGCTCTCTCTCTCTCTCTTCCTCTTTCTCTCAACCATCCTGGTATATTTTTGGGGTTTTTTTTTGCCAGAAGTTGCTGTAGTTTGATGAAGCCTTTCTGTACTGAAGCAGCCGGCATGCCTTACAATGAAATGTGGTCAGAGGCAAGTGAACATGCCTTTAGTTCGTATCTCAGTCTCTGTCCCTGGTTCCAGGATGTCTTGTGGAAGGAAAATGATGATGTTAACATGATATAAACCTGATATAAACTAATATGAGTATCTGCGAAAGCAGAAGGTAACTCCCCTTCCTGAATTTTGAATAAGACACACAGCTCAATATGTTTCCTTTTCCAAAGAATCGGGTCCTTAGGTATTGCGGAGGAGCTGGCTCCATCCGCGAAGGTCGGAACCATCTCTTGCAGTGCACTGCCCCCTAGCACATTCCTGCAGGATGGAGGGGAGAAGGACACTGTGCTCGGTCAACAACACCTGCGGGACATGGCTTTCCCTGGGAATTTTCACACCAACTATTGACTCAGCCCAGTCATGCTTGGCTTGCGGGATCCGACAGGATCACAGCACGAAGTTGTGCGGCTGCTCGGTAAGGCAGAGATTCTTAATTGTGTTCAGCGGTGTGTTCTTGATGGAAGACTGGAATAACATAGATTTCTTTATTTGGTGACATTAACCAAACGTGAACTTGAATTTTCTCATATGAAGATCAAGGTCTCTATTTTCTCCTTCTTTCAATGCTACCCTCTTTATGGTCATATAAGGCTTAAAGCTTTATCTGAGCAAAGAAGCGGAATGATAGATTTTATTTTATTTTATTCCCTTTGCAGTTTTTCCCATGCAGATAGGGCATAGAAGAGGAATTCAGAGAGAATTCTTCTTTCACTTCGTTCATTGACTTTCTCTGTTACTCTGACACCATTGTCAATATTTTCTCGTATAAATAAACACTCAGAATCCTTGCCTGGCTTTTTCAGAGTTCACTTCGCTGGTAGGTCTTAAAGGGGAGAGGCTAATATTGGATATCTAATGGATATTATCAGGGGATAACATAGAATATCTCTATTTGCAGATGATAAAATGAGTGTACAGGCAGATTAAACTATTTAACAAAGGCCTCAAGCAGGCTACTGGCCAGACTGAACTTTCCTGAGTATGATTTACCTATACTTTACAAAAATAACACACTCTGGTTTCTCTGTGTGAAGTGTACTCTTCAAGAGGAAAATAAATATTGTTCTTATTGTACAGTATTTGGTCCTGGTTGAAAAACTGCATCCCTACTACTGTAGAGAAATTAATCTTTTTGAAAAAGAATATCTAAGTGTAAAAAAAGCAGGTGAATCAGCTAAGCCCTGACCAAACACAGGTACTACTACTCCAGGCAATGATAATACAAGCATAAAAAAAATTCTGGATCATCTCCCAGAGAGTGGTATAGAATATAGTGGTAAGCCTTGCCATACTGACAGCCTGCACCCCATCCCTTCCAAAGAGATGTGCCCAGTCCTTGGGTCAAGCCATGTCACTCCGTTTCTCTGATCTGATTGCGTCTCTGGATTATATCTCAAAAGTGACCTAGTTCCTGCAATCAGCACAAACTTGGTGTCACTTTAACTGGCTTGGTCAGCCTCACTGTAAACAAGCTACTTCCATACCTTGGAGGGCCCTGTGGAACTTCAGTAATTTCTAGGCCCCTTCCTCTCCCATTTCAGAAATCGAGAAGGTGATTAAAGAGTTTGTTTTTCAGTATCCTCTGAATGTGTCCTGTATCCGTGTATCATAGACACTCAGCATTTACACAGCACACAACATCTTAAAAGCTTATTACAAAGCATTTAGCATGCTAGTGCTCAGAACACACAGGAAAGGTGTTATTATAGGAATGAAGAAACATACTCAAGGGAGTTACTTGGCCAGAGAGCGAAGGGAGGTGGTGCAGGAGCTGTGATTATAATCTAGTTGTGTGTGGGCCAAACTCTCCCTTATTTACACCAGTGTCAGGTTCTGGCAGAATTCCACTTCTCTCAGATATTGATCTGAGACGTTAATGGGCCAAGTGTATCATGATGTTGGTGGATATCAAACTTTGTACAACAAAGGAAAAATGAGAGTGTCAGACACACCTCATTTTTCTTCCGTATTGCTCTGCTGAGGTCGGTGGAGTTGTTCCTTGTTTACACCCAGTGAGACTGAAATGACAGTCCACCCAATCTGATGGATCCAGCTTCACTTGTAGTACCTTGAACAGATAGTCCAAGTACCTAAAGTATTTTCTGTGTAGAGTTTCTCAAATTGCAATTTGGGCCCAATGACTCTGACGTGTCTAAATGCAACAACCTGTTTAATACCTATCTCATACATACTTATAGGACCCGTTAATACCTCAACACCATCTGATTTTTTCAGTGTGTTCACTAATGCACATTCCTGAGCAGCTCCCATCACTGTTTCCCATGACACAGGGATTTGAAGCACAGTGAGGCAAAGCTGCCACACAGGTTGTCTGTGTCACAGCGAGGATAGGAACTTGTGTTTTCCACTGTTGGCATTGCAACCTTGATCCCTACTGACAACACCCATCTTGAAGCTTTTGCCTATGGCTGCTCCAAATGAAAGCCTGTGCTTCCATAAGACAGGAGATTTTAATTTTATATGGACAATATGATTAAAGAAAAGGTGTAGGCAGGCTGTGCTTCACCCAGATGGAGCAGAATTGTAAATCTAAAGACTTAGCTGACTATATAGAAATTTAGGACAGCTGGCCCCTGGCCTTTAATACCAGCATAATTTATAACTAGACGCGCTTAAGTCTTGTAAACCCTGTGGAAAGTACTCTGACATTATATACACTGGTTTGATACTGTGATTAATCACCCTTCAGTTCCCTTTGGAGGATAATAAGACTCTCTGTATCATGCAGCTGGCAATCTCCTTCCTTACAGTCCCAGCTCTTCTATAACATTTACATTTCTACAGCTGATAGAAATTTATAGCTCTAAAAGGGGATAAAGGAAAACAAAACAAACAGGACATTTCTCTAAATTCCACTAAAGCTGCTCTGCTAAAATATACTTTGAGATTAAATGTTGGGGGTGCCCGGACAGATACAACACTGCTTTCTCCAGCCTGGTTTTAGTAGTTTATGACCCCTTAGTGACTGAAAAGCCACAGAAGGGGAATTACTGGGTGGTGGAAAAGGAGCATCCGAGCAGGATTAAAAACATTCAGGGCAAAATCGTGGTTTACGGTTCAGATAGGTCTTGTCCTTCTTTTCCCCCATCCTCTTTCTACTGCCTGCTGGAAGAGGAGAAGCAGCAGCACACTGCACTTGTGCGTTATCTGATCGCTGTCTGAAAGCTCTTAGGAACAGCCTGAATAGCGTGCCATGACTCCAGTTTAAAGTCAGTTTGCAGACAGCCCAGATAGACTGAAGGGAAACAGCGCGAGCTTTCCAAGCGAACCGCAAGCCCCGCGTACGTTTTCCAGGTGCCCTGAAGAGCGGCGCGGGACGGCCCGGGGGAGGCTGTGACGGGCTCAGGCGGACACCCGCCGGTACGAGGGAGGTACAGCTGGAACGGAGCGAGGCTTCCCTCGCGCCGCGGTACCGGGACGGGACCGACTCGGATGGAGTTCGATCGGATCAGAGAGGGTCGGGGCCAGACCCAGGGTCGGGGCCAGAACCGGGGCCGCGCCCCCGCCTGCCGCGCGCCCGCTCTATTCCCTATAAGGCGCGGCGGGCGCGGCCCCGCCCCGCGCTCGCGCCGATGAGGTAATGCGGCGCTGCCATTGGCCGCGCGCGGCGGCGCCCCCGGAGCGCGAGCGGCGCGAGCCGGGTATAACTCTGCGCGCCGGTGCCGCTCCGTCCGCAGCGCTCCGCACCTCGGCTCCCCTCAGCTTCCCTCAGCTCCGCACCCGCACCGCCGAGCGAGCCGGCCAGAGAGACTGAGACAGCGGCAGGGCAGGCAGCCGCGGCGCACGGGCTGTTAGCGAGCAAGAATAAAGTCAGGCGAGCACAGCAGCGGCCGCCTCCCGCTCCGCAGAAGTGAGGAGGCACCTCGGGGGCAACATGATGGCGTGGCTGAACTTTCTCGTCGTGTTCCTGTGCAGCTGGAGCCTGCGGGACTTGGTGGTGGAGGCTTGCACTTGCGTCCCCATCCATCCGCAGGACGCTTTCTGCAACTCCGACATCGGTAAGTGCCGGTGCCCCGCAGCCGCCCGCTCGGGAGAGCCGGAGAGCTGCCGGGACCCCGAGGATGGGGCACAGCGCGGCTGTCACCGCAGCGCGGCTGTCACCGCAGGGCAGCCGCTGTCCCGCGGGTCACGCCGTGAGGGCAGAGGCGCGGCGGGCGGGTCACTCCGCAGAGCCGTGACCTGACTTTCCAGGAGCGGGTTTGGCTCCGCTGCTGCCGCAGACGCCTGGGTTGGTAAGAAGAGAGGCGTGTGGTGGCGGACCCCCGCCCAGCCCTTCCAAGCCCTGTCCCGCGGCAGCAGCCTCTGCCAGAAGTACCTTAAAGAAATCAGTAATTGTTAGAGTGGCATGTTTCCTAAAGCAGGACAGAAACACAGTTGGAGGTGTAGGCTGCCAAAATTTCCTCCTCAACTTGGTGACAAGAAGTAGGAGGCAGGATTAGGATCCTCCCAAGCCAAGAAACAGCCCGTGGCGGCTGTTTGGAGGTGCGGCTCATGCAGGCTTGTGGTGCTGTGCTTGTAACGCTGGGAAGGGCTGGACAAGCCGGTACCCAGTGTCTCCAGGCTTTCTGCATGCTGCACTGTGCTCTTTGCAGCTGTGGGAGGTATGTATACCTGCACGCCTTTGGGAAAGTTGAAACGCTTTCATTGGATCCTGACTGATGTTTTTTCCACTATGGGTTTCAGCATCCCTTGGGTTCTTCATTACACTAACTTTAGGTAGGGGACAAGGACAGCACCAAAAATCTCTGAGGAAGAGGTAACAGAGACTCTGTTCCCAAGTTTGTTGGCTTGCTTGTAGCTAAGGGTGAGTAACAAAATACAGTTGTTGCTTGGCAGCTCTTCAGTAGCAAAATATATGAAATCAATTAGTGGTGTCCTTTGAGCTACTAGTGGACACATGTCCATGTAGTGGCAAATACAGACTGTCACTTCAGCAGCGGTGAGAGGACGGCACAAGTCTCCTGCCTTCTCTGTAGGTTGTCTTAGCACAGCATAAAAGGGGCCAGGGACTTTGCACTGCTAGTACCCACATGGTACTGACTCGGAGCAGAGTTTGCAAAGAAATCCTGGCAACTGCTATAGAAGTCAAATAGAAAGTAATTCTCACTGCAGCAGAACACCCATTGCTATGAATGCTGCCAGCAGCCTTTTCACATTAGCCAAGGTTAGTGGCAAAAGATCTATCTCTTGCCTTCAGTTCTGCAGAAACTTCAGTTTCTGTGCCTGGTTATTAATGTTTAGTTTATGTAGTGTATCTGCTCCTGTATGCCAAAAACCCCATTCCATGTTAAAAGTGGTGGGAAGGTTGCATTTTGCTTCAGTGATGATAGCCTGGAAAACATTTTATAAAATAGCTTTATACTGGGAAATTCTTCCAGGAAAATAAATTATTCAGACTTCTGTTGCTATTATCATAGTTTGGATCAACAAGTGTGCCACCTAAGTGACAACTGCCAGGGAGATTGTCCTTTCTGTGAAAGTGAGACTGGGAAACTGTTTTTCCACAGCAAAAGCTGATGGCAGCATGTGGCCTTCATTAGCTGCATTTTGGGAGAGGGACTGCTTTCTTGCTCTGTTTAGGTCATGCTATAATAGATGAGAGGTAGTGTTGGTTCAATAAAAGGTATTAAATATATTTTTGTAATGAGTACACACTGACAGTATATTCTTACTAGATGCATAAGTGACTAGGAGTAAACAATGAAGTTTCATATAATGGTGCTCCTAAACTTTTTAGGGCACGAAGTTTTTCTGTTTTCTGCTCCAATTTCTGGTTGAGTTCAAAGTCTTCCCTTCATTTTTCCTTTCTTTCTTCTGGGCTGTTCATTATATCTCAAGCCTTGGCTTCCTTGGCTTTGCTCTGAGACAAAGTAGTTCAAAAAGTTGACGTCCCTGGGGCTGTCATGCCTTCAGACATCATAGCAATGCAAAGGAAGAGCAGCTTGAGGGGAAAGAGCAACCTATTCAAGTAAATGACTTGAATGCAAGTCTGGTTAAGACTGCAGGTCTCTGATGGGTTGAAGCAAAAGTAAAACCTTACATTTGCTAGAACTGTCTGGAAAATGTGATATTTCTGTAGCCTGATTTTAGTAAACGCTGTCACGTTCTTCCTATGCGGAAAAGACAAAAAGCTCACTAAAGCTTTCTGGCTTTGGAGGAGTTAATCATCTCCATGGAAACTGATGGCAGTGTACTAGTGCAGTGTTTAGACAGACTAAACTACACGCTGGGTTATAAAACACATTGTGGGGAAGAAAGGGACTTGGCAGCAAGTTTTTATCGCTCTTGAAACTTCTGACAAAATACCAGCTCTAAAGGGAGGAGTCAGTGCAGTAAGGGCTGGAGCAAAAGAGACTTTTAAAATAGCTCCTAAAACAATGTAAGAAATTAACTAGCTAGGTGGCAGCCTAGGAGAGGCTTTTCATCTTCAGAAGCACTGCATTTTGAAGAAGGAGAAAACTTTTAGTTGAGGACTGTAAGGCAAACTTCTGCTGTTGATATTTCATGCTTAATCAGTGAAGTCCTACTCTCAAGTTTATTCTCTTCTTCTTTAATCTGATCTCACCAGACATTTAATTTTTCATTTTCCGGTGGCTTAGTTCTGATACAGCCTCCCAACCCTGCAGTCACTAGAAGGTTTTAATCTTTGCAGAAACAGATGGCCAAATAAACCGATTGGAAAGGGTAGGATTTCAATATGTACATCGTTTAAAAGTGAAGGTTGTGGTCTTTGAAGGAATCTTGAACTTCATAAATAACAATGTATATACATTTTTGATTTTAAAAAAGGAGGGAGGGGAATAAAAAAGAGGTACCACTGCTAGTCTGGTCACAGGGGAGCTTTTCACTCAGCCTGACTGTTCCATCATGGTGAATGAAGCAAAAGTGAAGAGGTGTCTTATCTGGCCCTATGGGGCCAATCAATAATAAAATTGCTGTTTTAACTCTTGGCTTTCTTTCTTTAATGGGATCAGTAAGTGCCAGAAGAGGCAGTACCATAATTGGACAAACAGTGACTGCTATGATTTGCCATATGAACTTTGCTTCCTCCACTCCCGCCCTCTGTGTACGACCCCTTCCAGATGTGAATATTTTTCTTTTGTTTGAATTAAGAGACCTTTTGAAAGAACAGACACCAGGCATGCTTTATTCTTTTGTGACAAAGCTGTGACATTTCCAGCTGGACATAGCTGACATGAAAGGGACTTGTTTGTCCTTTTTTTGCATGAACAGCAGAAATTTTTGAGCTTGGCTGCTGAATGTTGAATTCACAGGTTTAAAAAGCACCTCCTGTTTGCCCCCCTCTGCCCCACATCTCCTCTCAAAAAAAAAAAAAGAAAAAAGAGAGAAAATATGTGAAATTGCAGACTGCCTTTTGACAAACAAGTCTGCAAGTGATAAAGTACTTCATTCACTCCACACTGTCTTATTTCTATCTTGTACATATACTATAGAGAAGAGCTATGGCACTATTAGATGTCTCTTACTTAAGTTCAGAGGAGCTCAAAATAACATTCCTTTGTATGGTTTGTGTTGTGGGAGGAAATGTGGATAATGCTCTTCTCTGTTCTAAGTAACCTCACTCTTGGTGAGATGGAGGTGGCAAGCTCCAGGGAGGTGAGGGTGAGTTCTTAAGGGTCTCTTGGTGCTGTGGAAGTTGTTCTTTATTCCGTCCTCCTATACCCACAGCACAGAGCTCACAACACCTGCAGGGGCTCCCATCTTTTGAACTGAGAATGAGAGAGAGGAGCAAGAAGGCAACAGCTGAGAAGGGGGAAACTGGTGAATTTGTTTGGCCTGGAGTCTAACCACCTAACTGAAAACCTGCCCTTTCACTGGTTTCCCTGAGTGGATCATTCTACTTTCTCACTACTAAGTTAAAAGACATGTGCAGAACACTTGATCGTACGTGAGATTTTGAACATGATTTCTTTATTTTGTTGTAGTGATATCAAATGTCCTGTCTTAGCCTCTAAGGCAGACAGGTAAGGGCCAATTAATTATACCAATCTTTACAGTTGAGATTAATTTAAAACTAATTTTTTTTGGTTATATATTGTGGTAATAGTTGCAAAAGTGTATCCACTTTGGAATCAGACTTTGTTGAGGCAGTAATGATGTGATTTTATTTTTAGACTGGACTTCCCTTGGAGGCATTTCAGAAACAGGAAATCTGAGAGGCATCCCATAAAGCTTCAAAAAAGAATAAAAATAAGTACTGCAGATTTCATTTTACATGGGAAGAAATGGAGGAGATTTGTTTAACTTCTATGGAATTCTAATGTTCACATTAAAAACTTTGTTGAAAGAGGGTGTTCCTTGTGACTGGTCCTGTCTCCTGACAGAAAGATGGCCCTTGCAGCTGAACTGTCCAATTTAGTAGAAGTGGAAGTTACTTCTTTGGTTTTTTGGTGTTTTTTTGGTTTGGTTTTTTTTTGTGTGTGTGATTATTTACAATTTTAGTCCTTATAAGAGTAGTGAGTTCTGGAGTTACTTCTCCAAATGTATGTATTAAAAAATAAAAGTGGTGGAAATTACTGTTTGGAAGATGTAGTGCAGAATGTTATTTCTTTTTATTATTGCATATGCTTACTCCAGATTTCCTGCAGGAAGTATCTCCAGCAAGGCCTCTGAGCCAGAAGAGAGACAGATGTTCCAACCTTAAGCCTTGGAGCTCCTGCTTTATGCAGACATTTCTTTCCTTCTTATTTTCACTGATTTCCCACATGTTCTTTAGAACTTTCCACCTGCCAATTGCTCCTCTGATGTTTCTGGAAAGAGGTGGGCTAGTGGGAACATAGTTATGTACAGCCATACACAATACTAGTGTTTTCATCTGGGTTTGGGAAGGACCTGCCTTATTCATATCTGTTTTTCAGGATGAGCAGATTTGATTATTTGACCATAGAATTGACACAAGGTGACAAATTATCTCTCAGCTCCATCTGTGGACTTCAGTTTTTCTGAGACACTGATACAGTTAGTCCTGCACTTTCAG